TGCGCAAGAAGGAGAGCGAGGCGACGGACGAGCCGTCGTGGCAGTGAGCTTTAGCCGAGATGTAGCCGAGATGTGGCCGATGTGTAACCGAGGCGGTGGGGGTCTTGTGTTTCCTCGGAGGCTGCGGCGCCGCTCGTAGAGCGGCCATACTTCCGCGCCCCGGCTGCAGCCCGCCTCGCCTCGCCTCGTCCCGACAGGTTTGGGATGGTGAACATCTTCATCATCTTTGGGCTGGGCGGGCTCTGGTGTATGTCGATGGGCTTTTTCGACGGCGAGAACGTGCCCGATTTCGTCGCCAAGCGCGACGACCTGCAGTACTACTTCAAGGGCTTAGCTGCGCCCGAGGTTGCAAACGAGACGGCCGACGGCGACGGCCGCGACCCCTTCGCGGCGCCAGAGGAGGACGGCAGGGGACGGTTCTGACGCTGTCCTCCCACGCGCCCTCGTCGCTTCTCTCTCCCCTCTCGCCACCTCACAGCTCTAGACCTCACGTCTCGCACTAGCCGCGGCCCTTTTTGCAGGCGCGCCTCGCCGCTCTTATCTCCGCCATATCATGCGCCCCTTTTGACCGGGGCCGCGGCGCCGCGCTCTAGCCGTTAGCCATGTGTGGGAGCACACCGCGCCGGTGTTCGGTGGGAGGTTTGTGTACAAAGTCGAGTGTACCGTCGGTGCAACGGTCGGGGGCGTCGCTCGGGGCTCGGGCCCGACCCCGGGCTGGCGGGCGCGCCCGTGAGCGGTGAGCCGTGTGGGTGTGCGCGTGTGTGGGCCACACGCGCGCCGCTCCGGCTGCCCCAGCCGGTGCAGCTGGCAGCTCGCCGGAAACTCAGGAGCTCTCTGCTGTCCTGTGCAGTCTCTTCTCCTGTAAGCTGTATATCCTCACGCCCTCGATAGAGAGACCGCCGTATCGCGTATCGCGTATGGAGCTTGGACTTTGGAGTGGAAGCATGCCACCACGACGCACGAGCCGCGATAACACTCGAAGTACCGTCCAATCGAGCCGTCCCCTCTTTTACATACATAAATAAGGCTAGGGGTGAGAGAGATTTTTAGCAATACCAAATTGTTTGTTTAGGGGTG